GTTGGCCCTGACCACTGTGGCCAAGTCGCCCGTGAGCCTGGAGATGAGCAACCCAGAGGAGGCCCCTCCATCAAACTGGTGCTCTGGCCCCCGGGGCTCACTGGTCTGCCCTGGACTCCTGAAAAGCAGGCCACCGGAGCCTTAGAAGCTCCTTGACCACCTTGGAAAAGCTCCATGACGGCCGCCTGCGGGGGCTCAATGCACAGAGCTTCCGGATCCGGCCTCAGGCGGATATGGGCTTCACCGTGGCAGCCCCATGCCCCCAGGGTGACCCCCGCCCTGCCCTGGCTGCGCCAGGCTGTGATAGCGCCGTGCGTTCTGCGGTGAGGGCCCACCTGAAATCCGTGTGTTTATTTTCACAGTGACACAGGACGTGGGTGGCGAGAGTGGCCACTGTGTCGGCCGGAGGCGGGGGTCAGAGGCCTCGGATAGCTCCCCGCATGCACCCTTGGTGCCCCCGCTGCATGTTGAGGTAGAGCCTCCCCAGGAGACAGTCCCACGAGTGACTTAGAGGAGCTGGGAAGGCCCCGCGCCGGCCCACTTGCTCAGCTTGGGCTTGGCCTGGGCCCCTGGTGGACCTAGCCCTGGGGGACGGCTCAGCTACCACGGAGCCCGGCCTGGCTCTCCGGTCCTGGCCCCGCCGGCCCAGGCTGTCCTGTGTGCAGCTGTGGGTCTCCCCAGCCTGGGCCGTCAGCAGAGGAGGCAGACAACAGAAGCAGGCGGTGCCCACCACCTGCGGCCAGGAGCCCTGCTGAGACGGGCCAGCTGAGCCTCCAGCCGCCCTTGGCCTAGAGCAGGTGGGTGCCTGGGCAGCTGCCAGTGGCCGCCGCTTTCCCCTGGGGCCTGGGCTGAGCGCATCCCTCCTGTGTGGGCACGAGAGCTTGGGGCAGAAAACGTGCTGGACCCTTGTGTTCAGTCGCCCAGTCGTGTCCGACTCTGCGACCCCACAGACTGCAGCACACCAGGCCTCCCTGTCCCTCACCATCTCCCGGACTTTGCCCAAGTTCGTGTCCATCAAGTCGGTGATGCCATCTCATCCTCTGTCACCCCCTTCTCCTTCATGCCATGACACTGGGGATGCCAGAGGCGTGGTTTCTTAATGCTCCTCATTAAAACTGCGCAACAGTTGTTTTCTGCGAGTTGTGTTATCCCGTGATTTTTAATCACTGGGATCTAGGGTGGTTGTTTCCAGTCTCTTTGTAATGATAATTGAAAGATCTCACTTTCCTTTTCTGAGTTCTGGCTGAAACGTAAATATTGTGAGACCAGATTCAGCAGATTTCTGCCTGTGCCTCATTTATGCATTAAATGAACGCTGAGCAGTTGAAAGGGAACCCGGGCTGTGTGTAGGCAGTTTGGGGGGAGAGGTAATACCAAGAGCTCCAGGTTCTTCATTCCAAGACCATCTTTGCTTCCGGGGCACCATCTTTGCTTCCCGACACCAGACAGCCGTTTGAGGTGTCCGTTTCCGAAGGCCAGTGATGCTGGTGGAATCCCAGAGTGACTGGCAGTAGCCTGGTGATGCCCATGAGGGCCTGTACCCTGGACATCGGGTACAGTGCCATCGGGCCCCAAGGCGGGATCCTGTGAATCCAGGCGAATCAACAGACGTTTCCTCTGGTAGAAGAACCTCCCTGGGTGAGCAGCCCTCCTTCCTGGAAGGAAACTAATAACAAGGGACGTGGCTTATTTCCACTTCGTTCACTCTTTTGTCCCAGTGGTGTCATTCCATGTTCCTTTTAGAAGACAAGAAAACACCACTTTTTAAATCATTTGCAAAGTTCTCGAGCTGATCTTACAGACACGCACAGTAACACCAGTTTTGAAGCGCTGAAGGTCAGACGCAGCTGTGCTGACCAAGGGCAACAGTCACTGCAGAGCTGGGAAGCCAGGGTGTAGATCTACTCTTGAAATCCGGCCACCCAGAGAGGCCTCTGCCACCTTCTTCCTGCCCCCAGTGCCTGTCAGCCGCTTTTTTGGGAAGGTGGTTGTTTTTGCTTCTTCCGTAGAGAGAGGTCGGCCATGATGCTCAGCGTGCATAGAGCTCACGGGTGGGCGCTGAGCTGGGCATCCGCTCCTGCCGGTCACCGCTCGACCTGCTGCGCGATGTGGCCTGGGAGCCCCGGGCCCTTGGTTGGGGGCGGGGGCAGGCACTGCTGTTTGGGGGCCGTCTACACTCGCTCTTCTGCGTGAGCCCCGTCCTGGCACCCTCCGTCCGGCGGCCACCTCCCTCTCCCTCCCTCCCTCCCGCGCTGATTTTGAGCTTCCTCACCCACACCCCTCTGCATTCTGTCCCCCGTGGTCCCAGCTGGAAAGGAAACCTCTCCCCTCCGGGGAAGGCAGGAGGCAGCAGGGCTTGCGGACGGGGCCCTGGGTGCCCTGCTGTGTGTGTGGGCACCCCTGTGACCACAGGGGCATGTGTGTTTGTGTGTGTCACAGCTGGAATCTGCCTGCCCGGGCTCCGTCCGGTCGGGGCTCAGCCATCCCTCTTCCACAGCGGGCCTGTGAGGAGGTGTCCGCGGGGCCCCCGGGAGTGGCCTCGGGTGTGTCCATCCTGCTGCGTCTCACGCGCGTGGTGGCTGACGTGGGGGGAAGCATGCTTGTCCACGGAGAGTCCTGGGCCGTCGCAGGAGACAGATCACTGCCAACCCCACCCCACCCCTGCCCCATCCCTCCCCACGGGAAGGAGAGGGGTCGGGAATGAGTCACGCCTGGGACACACGCGTCCCCCCGGCAGGTGCTGTGGGCAGAGGCCTGCCCTGTGCAGGTGGCTAGGATGGCAGAGGAGGCTCTCGGGGCTTCCCAAGGCCCCATGTGGCTGGTGGGGAAGCCCTGGAGCGGGGAGGCGGTACGGGACCGGACAGACGGCTGGGAGCCTGAGAGTCGGATGGGGCAACAGAGACGGAGAGCGGAGGGGCTGTCTAGAGGGAGCAGGCAGCCCTGGCCGCCAGCGGAGGGCTTGGCTGGTTGACGTTCGAGGAAAACCTGTCAGGCGTCTGGGCTTGATCACGTCTCTCCCACACCCCCATCAGCGCTGGCCGGCTTGTCTGTGCTTACCTTTTCCAACATGCTAAGTGAAAATGAGATTTGATGGCTAGTGAGGTTGAACGTTGTTTCCCATTTATTTTTAACCACTCTTTTTGGTGACTGGTTTGATCTCCTTGCTGTCCAAGGGACTCTGAAGAGTCGTCCCCAAACCACAGTTCAAAAGCATCAAACCAGTCCATCCTAAAGGAAATCAGTCCTGAATATTCATTGGCAGGACTGATGCTGAAGCTGAAGCTCCAGTACTTTGGCCACCTGATGCAAAGAGCTGACTCCTTGGAAAAGACCCTGATGCTGGGGAAAGATTGAGGGCAGGAGGAGAAGGGGGTGTCAGAGGATGAGATGGTTGGATGGCATCACTGACTCAACCTACAAGTTTGAGCAAACTCCTGAAGATAGTGAAGGACAGGGAAGCCTGGCGTGCTGCAGTCCATGGGGTCAAAAAGAGTCGGACACAACTGAGCGACTAAACTCTTTTTGGTGAATCTCCTGGCCTTTTTTTCTCACCTTTTTAGTGGGCTGCTTATCATATTCTTATTAATGTGAAACACAGCCATCTGCATATAAAAGTTGATGTGTACACCATAAGTACGGCAAAGAGTTTTTCTCATTCACCTTTTGCATTTTAACTTTGTTGACAGTATGTATTGTGAAGGTAGCTTTTTACATTGTCAGTTATGTCATTTTTGAAAACCTGATATAACTTACGCAGGACAAAATGCACACATCCTGAGTATGTGTTCGTGGACAGTCGTGAGTGTCTGTGTAAATGCTGCCTCCACCAGCCAGCTCACACCCTGGACGGCTGCCCCGTCTCGTCCACTGCCTCACCCAAGAAGCAGCCTTCTCTGACTTTATCTCCGTGTCTTAGAGTTTATCTCCTGTTCCAGAACTTTGTGTAAATAGAATCTGCAGGTGAACTCTTTTCTGTCCTATTTGTACAGCTGACACCAGAACTGCTCATTTTCCTTGTTTCACAGCCCATCCTTGCTTTTGCCAGTATATACAGTTTATTCTTTCTCATTGCTGGGTGGGATTCTCACATAAGAACATGCACTCCTGCCCCCGGGCTCACGTCTGGAGGACATCGAGGGCACGTCAGACGGGGCTGCTGTGCGCACAGTGGCTACACATGGTCCTGCACAGAGCTTTGCCCAGATGTGTTCCCACGTCTCTTGGGTTAGTCCTGGGTGTGGAATTGCTGGGTCTCGGATGGGTATGCGTTTAACTTTGTAAGAATGTGCCAAGCAGTTTTGCAAAGTGGACACACTCTTTCACGCTCTTTTGTGTCACTTTCAAAAAGGCATTTCCAGTCGTTCAGTTGTGTCTGGCTCTGCATCCCCATGGACTGCAGCACGCCAGGCCTCTCTGTCCATCACCAACTCCCAGAGCTTGCTCAAACTCATGTCCATAGAGTTGTTGATGCCATCCAACCATCTCATCCTCTGTCATCCCTTTGTCCTCCTGCCTTCAATCTTTCCCAGCATCAGGGTCTTTTCCAATGAGTTAGCTCTTCAGGTGGCCAAAGTATTGGAGCTTCAGCATCAGTCCTTCCATTGAATATTCAGGACTGATTTGCTTTAGGATGGTCTGGTTTGATTTCCTTGCCATCCAAGGGGCTCTCAAGAGTCTTCTCCAGCACCACAGTTCAAAAGGATCAATTCTGTGGTGCTCAGCCTTCTTTATGGTCCAACTCTCACATCCGTACATGACTGCCGACTTCCTAGATTGCATAAATCATCATGCGTATTTTCTTCCAGGTCAGCAGTTTTTATTTTCATTTGCAGCCTTTAGTGTGAAACATGCAGGAGATGCCCTGGAGCAGCCCTGTTTCCCCCCGGCAATGCGGGCCCTGCAGGGGCAGCGAGGCAGCCCTGGCCCCGCTGCTCCTCTCGCGCGTGCCGCTCCCCTGGGGCAAGGTCCTGATGGTCTGTGTCTGCTGCTCCTGCCCACAGCACCAGCAGGAGCTGCTGGCCATGAAGCACCAGCAGGAGCTGCTCGAGCACCAGCGGAAGCTGGAGAGGCACCGGCAGGAGCAGGAGCTGGAGAAGCAGCACCGAGAGCAGAAGCTGCAGCAGCTGAAGAACAAGGAGAAGGGCAAAGAGAGTGAGTGCGTGGGTGGGGGTGGGCGGGCGCGGGCACCCTCCCCAGGCACCCTCCCCTCACCCGCCATCCCACCTAGCTGTGTCCGGAGCCACCCCCCACCGTGTCCCTCCTGGAGCGGTGTTTCTGGGCGCCGTTTCTGGGCTCCCCCGCTTCAGGGCTGCTCCCCGGCTTTGTCTTCACGTGGGGACTGCAGAGGGCATCTGGCCCCACGTTTGGTGTGACTTAAGCATTTGCAGGAAAGTTTGCAGACCCTTGGCGGACTTAGAAATGACTAAGATCCGTAAACCATCACAGTGAGCTTCGCCTAGGAGTTCAGCCTCAACTTTTTCAAAGTTGCTTTGTCTGAGAGCCTTTGTGAGTGGCAGTTGGTTGGACTGCCTATCTTCGAGAGGAGGAGCTATGACCCCTGGGTTGCACATTTTTGCCCTTTGACCCCAGTGTTTGCTTTCCATCCTGGCTGTGCTTGTGTGAAGACCAGCAGAGTCCATTATCTTCCAGGAGATGCCCAACTTGATCTTACCCAGGAGACTCTTCTGTGTGCTAGTCTCTGGAAATTAGGTAGACTTTCCCAGGCTCTGGTCCTTTCCCCCAAGACCTCAGTGCTCAGGTGCACTCGTGGGTGCCCTGTTAATCCTGCAAGTACCTCAGGCTGCACACTTCTCCCCATGTCGGGATTCGACGTCTTGACCGGATGGTGGTTTACTCTTCTCATGCTCATGAGTAAAACGAGAAGTCTTTACACAATTTACCAATACATACTAACCTCCAGAAACCTTGAAACTCCTTTATTCTCAACTGCTGAAATTGGTTGGGTTCCCCCAGTGGCTCAGCGGGTACAGAATCCACCTGCAATGCAGGAGTCACAGGAGACGCAGGTGACGCAGGTTTGATTCCTGGGTGGGGAAAATCCCCTGGAGGAGGACATGGCAACCCACTCCAGTATGGACAAAGGAGCCCGACGGGCTACAGTCCAAAGGGTTGCAAAGAGTCAGACATGACTCAGCAACTATGCACACGGGCACACACTGAAAGTGGTTAGCCATCTATAAAAGTCATTTTAATAAGCTTTTAAAGTTTATTTATATGCACAGTTTTACATACACACAAGATACATACACAAGATGTTTTAAAGATTCTTGTAAAGTCTATTAGTTGACATTGTTTAGAAAGTCTTCTTACTGGTGTGTGTTGTACGTAAAGAAAAATGCACAGACTTCCGTGTGCAGGGAATTAGGCACCAGCACACATCACTGTGCAGCCACCCCCCAACACAGCACCTACGACCAGCTCAGGAGACGCTGCCACACCCCTCAGCCCTGCAACTCCGACACGTGACACCGCTTTTGCAGCTGATGTCAGTGGATGCGCTGACATGTAGGCTTTTGTGTTTTTCTCCTTTCACCCCACATTATGCGTGTGGTGTCTGCTGTGTCCTTGTGCAGCAGGGGGCTTTGCTTCCTGCTGAGGTCCCCACAGCTGTGTCCATCCACTCAAGAGTCGGTGAAGTTTGGGCTGTTCCCGGGCCCTTACAAACACTGCTGCTCCATGCACCCTTGGCCATGTCTTGTGGAGCAGGTCAGCTTCTATAGGTGAGGCCAGTCTCCACAGTGGCTGGACCACTTGTCACCCCATCAATGACATCATGGGAGTCCTATAGCTCTGAATCCCTGCCGTGACTTTAAATCTCAGCTCTGGGCAGTGGCCCCTTGGCTTCAGCTGCTTCCTCTGATCACAGTGGGACTCAGCGTCTTCTCCTGGGCTTTTGCCCATGGGGATGTCCCGTCCAGCAGGGTCCTTGTTCCGGTCTCTTGCCCGTTCTCTGGTCGGTTGTGGGTGTCGCGCGGGTCTTCCTTCACCTGCCCTGTCCCTCTCCTGGTGGTGCCTTTGAAACCACAGAAGTCTCAGCTCTAATGCAGCCTAACTTACACTGGTCTTTTCTGAATTAAAATGTAATCTAATCTGTATTATTATGCCTACATTATTTTGTACATTTTTATAAATAATTTCTTTCAAAAAGTGTATTATTTTTCCTAAAAGGATGTAACTAATGTAGTCTCTTCATATTCAGTTTATGTCTCTGTTTATTTGCATGTTCTTAGTCATTGTTTTTATACACAAAATTAACAGCTTTCCCAGTCAGTTATTACAGCACTCACTCTTGAAATAATAAATGGATTTTAAGCATATTTTCACTTTCACTGTCCAATAGAATTTCAGTGTAGAAAGCAGGTCAGCAGAGTTTGTTTCCCACATGAAGTCTAACTTGTGTGCCAGTATTTGAAAGGAATCGGTAAATCCGAGTGGGCTAGCTCATTACAGTACAGCGATTAGGCGCAAGGACGACGGACAGACTCACTGGGAGCCCACAGTCGAGACTTCATAAATGAGGGTGGAAGGCTGGCAAGAGAAGCGGGCTTGCAAGCTTGGCTGGCCACCTGCACCTTGTTCTGTGAATACAGATCACGGCACCGCCAGGCGGTGCCCATCTCACTTCCCTGCCCTCTGCCTCCCATCTGCCACCTGCCAGGCTGGTCCACACCACCAGGCTCAACCACATCAGGAGGCTGGTCTACACCACAGGCTGCTCAACCACCACACGTGCTGAGGGTATGCCTGGGGTGCTGATCGCACCTGAGCCTGCAGCACTGATGTCACAAAGCACCAGCACACAGGCTGTCATGATGGACTTATCTGGGGCGGAAGGTGGGCACCAGCTTTCATTTCTAATACTCCCAGGATGACTCGAAGGTGCAGTGGAGACTGCGAACCGGGGTTGGGGTGGTTTTCCCCGCCCTGAGTTAGGGGCCTGAGCATCCTGGAGGCCCTGTGACCTCCCACTGTGTCCACCACGTGAGGGCTGCTTCCATAGACCCCGCCCCACGGACAACAGCGTGTCGTCCCACAGGCGCCTTGTGAAGGGCTTTGCTGTGGGACAGTAGGCATGTGAGACCCAGAGCCTGCAGAGCTGCCCACCTGGTCCCCGAGCAGACCTGCTCCGGCCCCACCCCCTCTCCTGCCCCGCCCCCTGCTCCCACCCCGCCCTCTATTCCCGCCCGGCCCCGCCCCTAACCCGCCCCGCCCCCTAACCCGCCCCACCCCTCTCCCGCCCCGCCCCCTAACCCGCCCCGCCCCCTCTGCTCATACCCCACCCCCTCTGCTGCCCCGCCCTGTACTCTGCCCGGCTTTCTGCTCTGCCAGCCCCTCGTTGTGACCCTACACGGGCCCTTCTTTGCAGCGATGGCAGGTTGTTCTTTGAGGAACGAGGGCTAGCTGGCGAGGGTCAGCAAGTCTCTTGTGTGCCCGGCTCACCAGCAAACCCAGGGACTCACCAGGTCGCTCAAAGGCAGCTTGGTCTACAGTGCTTCCTCCCCATCTGCCCAAAACTTCCAATAAAAATAACATCTCAGGCCTCACAAAATATGAAAAGATTTGACTTCTGAAAACAGTTTCAATTTGTTCAGTCAAAACCAATTTCTTCTGTCTGTCAGGCAGCCCCTTGACGGGCTGTAGGAATGTTCTCTGCTCCCCTCCAAGCTCGTCACAGCAGCAGCCCCAGCGGTTCATCTCGTGGGTTTGGGTGGTCGGGTTTATTATTAATAAGGGACTGTGTACAGTGGGTACTTGGCATACTTGCATCGGCCCTACAGCCCTCAGAGTGTGGTCTTGACAGAAGGCAGGCTTGGCAGGCCGTGTGCTGGACGCTGCTTGGACCTCACCTATGAAGGAGATTCTTGTTTGTGTAGCTCACAGGGCCCCTGGCGTTAGCATCTCCAGTTTGTAAGCATTTGAAAATGTAGTGCAGAGCTTCCGTTGTGTCGTTTCTTGGGGTTCTTTAAAAAATGAATTTCTTTTTGAATATTTCATTGAAAGGTTTGTTACATTTAACATTCATGGAGCTTTTAATTTTAAATAATTCTGCAGTTTTCCTGATTGATACCAGTTAATGCTATTGATTGGTAAAACAGTGAATTCTTACAGTTGATGGCAGTTTTCATCTTATTCAGCATGAACACATGCTTTTTCATCTGTTTTATTTAATATAACCATGTTTAAGGCTCTGAGGTACTGTCTTTAAATTCATATAAAAACAAAAAGTCCAGCAGAAGATCTGTCTTTGTCCTCTGGACAGTTTGGAACTAACACAAGTGCATATTTCTCTGGTAGTTACAGCCACAGCCTGGGGGGTGGTGAGAAGGCGCCCTCACTTGGAGAAGTTGTTAGCTTTGCCTAAAAATGGCTCAAAAGGGTGGAGATAGGGACTTCCCTAGTGGCTAGGTCCAGTGGCTAAGACTCCCCACTTGCAATGCAGGGGGCCTGGGTTCAATCCTGGGTCAGGGAACTAGATCCCACATGCCCCAACTAAGAGTTCATGTGCCGCAACTAAGACCAAATAAATAAAATAAAAATAAATATGAAAAAAATGTAAAAGAAAAAAAAGATGGAGCTAGAAGATGGGACACCAGACCTCGAGAGTCGTTGTTTGTCCTGTTTGTAGGGTAAGGCACTCCTTCCTCGGGCACTAACCTGGGAGATGTGTCTGGTGGCACCTGCTCCAGGGACCACTGAGCCCCCGGCCTCTGCCCCCACCAGGTGGCCACCACCCCGAGCCCCTTCCCAGCCTGAATTTCCTTGAAAGCTTGTCCTCTGACTACCCTGATACCCCCCTGGGGCAGAAGGCTGTCTGCATCTTGTTTACCTCTGTCCCCGCCGACTAGTTCACTGCTGGCAAATAGTATATTCCCTGTAAGGCTGTCAGATGAACGAGTGATCATCAGTAGAAATTAATTTTTTTAAGTAAAAGAATTCAAAACATTTGTACTCATTTACTAAAGGTGTTTTGTCACTGCTGGAGCTTTCATTTAAGGTGGAGACGTCTCTTGAGAGGTGAGGGCACGTATATCTAGAGCACGAGGAACAGAGCCGGCATCGTCTGCTGAGTCCTCTCCTTTCAAGGAAACTGCCAGGTCTTTTTTATGGTGGAGGAAGTCAGGGTTTGGGGA